TTCACGAAGACTTCGGGGATCGTCACAGGAACAGTTTGGGATATTGCCGCGGACCTTGTCATGAAGTCGAGGTTTTGTCGAAAGCTCAGGTGGCATCTGCTCGATGAAGGCAAACCGAAGAAAACCCACCCCAAAAACTCAAAAATTGGAAACTTCACCTAACCACCAAGCAACAGGCCCCCGGCACCTTCGGCTTGGCCCAGGCCCGGCAGCTCTGGCCAAGGCCTGTGCACCGGCCCGCCGGTTTTGAGGTTCAGAAGCGAAAAGAAGACACATCCTAGCACTTCGAAGTCGGCTCCCAGCGTTGGGGGAGCGAGCCGGTTGCATGTCTGGCCTTGTCTCTTTGTGGTTGGGAGGCGAGGAGAAAGGAAAACTGGCCCCGCCCCTGACGCTAATACTTGCTATAGAATGACTTCCTCACGTGCCACGATGGCTTCTGTTCAAATTTAAGGTTGTACTTAATGGCAGCGAATGTCAGTCATGGATGGGCATGGGACACTGCGAGCCGAAACAGCCACCAGGTCGCTGTTTGTCCCCTGCGACGAGCCAAAAGGTCACAGTGCTCCTGATGCCGAACCCCAGAAACAGTGATCAAAAGACATGAAAGCTCGCTCCTCGTGCATTCTCTTTTCACTGCCTGGGCAAGCCGGAGCGCTGCTGTCGAAGGCCTGCAGCCTGTAGTCGTGACTCCCCTGGCCCTCCGAGGCTGCCATCTAGGCACTGTACTGGAGGCAAAAGGAGGCAACTTCAAAAGGCTTTAGAGCTTTCTTCCATCCCACCCCAGCTGCCCAACAGCCACAAGTGGCGGGCGGTGCTGCCACACCTGCTAGGCAGTAAACTGTTCCAGCTGGACGTCGTAAACCGAAGAGGCCGCTGCTATCCGTCGGCGAGTGGCATCCGTAAAGGCCGGCAAAACACTTATGGCTGCCACTTCTTGCAGATAGCTTTCAAGCGTAGCCTGCGCTCGCAGGCGCATGCGCCAAAGTAAGTCGCTGACGGGGGTGCCGCGTTGGTAAAGCAACACGGCACCCCCGCCGCGAAGCCCCCCTGGTGTCAGCTTAAAGGCGGCTGGCACACCCAGCCTCTGCAGAACGTAGTTCCACCTCCTTCTGAAAGTTGCAGCCGAGGCCGGGAAAAGCTTCTCTTCCAAAGGGCTTCGCGCCAGAAGTCGCTCCAAAAAGCGCACGAAAGCAGCCTCCCCCACAACGAAGTGCTGCACCTTCCCAGCTCCTCGGTGACCCGTCTTGGGAGCCTCGACTCGAACGTAGCAGACCGGCGTCTCGTCGACGAGCAGATCACAGGGGAGAAGGATCGCCCCGCGGTGTGCACGCAAAGGTTCGCCCACACGAGCCGTCCCATAGAAGGACAAGCCCACCACAGCCGCAAAGCGAGCCCAGCCCAGCGCCAGTCCCAAAGAGATCATTGCACGGACCAGGGCGTAGGGGATCGGCGTCCGGTGGGCCGTCGGGCACAATCTTTCCCATCTGGTCGCAAGGTCCCAGCACAGAGGCATGTAAGGCCGCAAACTCAGCCGCTCCTTTTGGAAGAAGGCGCAGAGGTGCCGCCACTTGTACAAAGGCTGCCCCGTCTGGAAAAGGTAATTTCCGTAGGCGCGAAGCACCGCGCAGTAGGCCATGGCACACCCTTCTAAACTAAGCCGAGCCGGGCGGGAGAGCCGGGAGGCAAGCCAGGCGTCGAAGTCGGAGAGGAGGCGTCTCTGCAAAGTCTGCGTACGAACGCTAACCAGCTGCACCTCCTCAAGGGACTCAACAGGAGGCCCAGGGTTGGCAGCCTCGCCAATGCGCTGCGTGCCGCAACGGCAAATATCGCAAGCACTGATATGCCGACGGTCCCCAGCCGGGCGCATAGCCTCGGTAGCCGCCGCAGCCAAGACCCCATTCAAGGGCCGAGGGTAGCTTTCAGCGACCTTTGTCCACATCTGGCGGCGTTCCTTGCAGTACCCGCTCAACCGCTGGTGGGGCCCAGGACACTGACACAACAGCCGCTGGCCACCCAAGGAAGTCGAAGTATATATCCTCGTGCGCTTTCGCCAGGGAGCCCCGCAACGGCAACAGTCCAGCAAGAAGCAGCGGCCTGGCGGGTCCGCGTCGTCCAATAGCTCTTTCCAAGCAGGTTGCAGCCAAAGGAAGGAAGCCGCCGGGTTCTCAATCCAGAAGTCAGTGTCGTGAGCCGCCGCCGTCCGCACCACCGCGGCTGTAAAGGAGGCGTGCTTGTTGCCGGCCAGCACCTTGTCCTCCAGAGTCGCCCGGCGGTCGGGGAGGCCCGTCGGGTGAGCAGCAGACCTCACCGGAGGGCGGATGGCACGACTCATGCTGGAGCAGACCGGGCCTCCTCCCACGCAGTAAAAGGCACCCGCCTTGATAAGAGCCAGGATCTTGGACTGGCAGTCCGGCTCTAAAAGGTCCTCGGAGGCATCGCGCAGCAGCTCAAAGTAAGGTCAAGACCCAGCAGCCAGAGCGGCGAGCGAGAGCCCGAGCGACTCCAAAAGATCCACTGTAGAGGTCCAGGAAGCCCTTCTTGCTCAAGTCTGGCACTCCGGGGCCCACGGTAACAAACTGGCGCACAGGCAGCGTACTCAGCAGCTCCTGGGTCGAAGAAGGAAGAGCCACTCCGCAAGGGAAGTCTGCACGCGATCCGGGCCGGCCCCGCGAAGCTCTCGAAGTCGGTTGTCGCCACAAGAGTTTGCGAGCCTCGCCGCGTGTAGCCACCGGTCTCCGGACGACGCCCAGCTCTGCAACAGGAGGAAGGCCCAAGGCATCCTGGGGGAGCGCCCCGCACGCCGCCAGCCAAGCGTCCAAGCCCTCGAAGTCGCCCTCCAAGGCGGCCGGCCACCATAACGGCAATTCCTCAGTCGGGGCCCTCAGCGGTACGTTCCGGGTGCCGTCGTCAGCTGGGTTCTCGGCCGACGCGTAGTACATCAGGTCCAGGTAGCTCTCGTAGCCAAGGTGGGCCGGCAAGCTGCGTCGCAACTCCTTGTTGATGGCTTGGCTGCTCGACCTTCCCTTTCCCAACGCTCCCAGGGCCACTTGAGAATCCATGGCCAGGTTGTGTCTGCTCCGCGGTCGCTTGCGGGCCTGGCGCAATTCGGCCTGCAAGCCCGCCCGCACCTCGGAAATGTTGATGTGGCGGCCTCTGCGACACGGGCGTCGCCAAGCACCTCCATACTGTAAAGCGCGGGCCAGCTTTGACCAAAGGGGGTGCGCTTTTATCTCGTCGGCCGGCAGCTCCTCCTCCGTCGCCAGGCAGCCGACTGCACGCTCCCGGGCCGCACCAGGGCGAAGGAGGCGGTTCCACAGCGGCTTGATCGGGGAAGCACGGGCACGCAAGTTGGTGGCCGCCGTGCTGATCAGGATGGCCGCCGTGGTCAGCTCATCCCGGAGTCCAGCGCTCAAGGTGAAGACCAAATCGCGAGGAAGCCCGCGACCCTCAGTGTAAATCAGGTTCAGCAAGCTGAGCAGACGGCGGCGGAAGGCAAAGATGGCCACCAAGCTTCCCGCCACGAGGTCCAGCAAAGCCCGCGTTGCCAAGCCCAGCCGGCTGATCTCCAAAATATAGCTCATCACTGGCAGGGCCCGCGTTGGGAGAGCGCGGACGTCCCCGCTGATGCCGTCCACCGCGGCCCCCCAGAAGCTCGCCTTGGTCTGGGCTTCAAAGGCCTTCTTTTCGCTGCGCTCCAAGCCGGCCGCCACGTAGCCCCGGCGCATGTTTTGCATAACTCGGGCCGTCCGCGAAGGAGGGCCGCTACCCCGCGGCCGCTTCTCCAGGCACACAAAGTCGTCTATGCAAATGCCTGTGGCAAAGCTCCCCCGTGGGGGTCGGCTGTCCAACGTCAGCATCTCCTCCAGCAGCACGTCAGTGTTGGTCAACAGCAGAGAAACATGCGCCGTTTGGCCGTAGCTGACGGCGTTCCGGTCCCCCATAGGGAGGGTGTTCAGGGCTGCGTAGTAGAAGGAGTGCCCGTCCTCGGTGTGAGCAAAGCCCGCGTAGGTAGCAGCCACGTCGCGGGGGAGCTTTCCAGTGATGGCGTTCCGGAACAGTCGGGCAGGAGGTGTCTGGAAAAAATAATATAATAATTAATAATCTTTCAAGTCCTCGCCTGCCATCACCAGCTCCTCCGAGGGCTCCAAAGACAGGCTAAGAAGCGAAGCCGCCGTGGCCATAGCCGTTGGGACAGCGAGAATCCATTATCATTCCGTCCCTGTCCTGGTCTTTGATAATGGCAAACAAGCCACTGGTGAAGCGGGGGTCGACGAGCCGGGCGGGGACGAAGCGCAGGCGGTCGGTATCATCCAGCATTTGTAAAACACGAAGTCGCTCGACACGCGTAGCTTGAACTTCGGGCGAGGGAGAGCCTCAGTGAGAGAAGAGGGGTCCATCATCCAAGCCGCCGGGTCCAAGAAGTGCGAGCGAGACTCAGGGTCCAAGTGAGGGCTGGGGTCGAAGACCGGGCGCCCGGTGAGCACCAACCTGTGGCTCTCTAGCACTCTAGCGGCTTTGCCACGGTCTCGGAATCGCCCCCAAGGCGAAGGCAGTCAGCCAACTCAGCGGCCGGGTCCTCCAGGAAGAAGGCTGCCTCTTCAGGCAAGCGGCACGTTTCCGCTCGAGCCCCCGTCGTGGTTGTTGTGGCCGGCGCCCCGATAGAGCCCGACCCCCACCCGCAAGAGGCGGTCCCACTTAAGAGCCGCCCTGAGGAAGAAGAACGCAGGGAAGGGTCAGACTCCTCGGAACGCGGGCCCAGGTAGTCCATGTCGCCAGGGGTGCCAATGTAGTGGCGGCACACTCGTCCCAAGCGCCGGGCTATTGTCTCCAGCCGGCCCAGCTGATTCTGCACAGCCTCCACCTTTGCCGCCACTCGACCCATCTCCGAAGGGCCCACCATAGGCTGGCGAACCAAAACTCGAACAGAGCTTTCCAAACGGCGGACTGCCCCATGCTGCTCTCCAGAGAGCGGCTGCCCCAACGAAAGCCAGGCCGGGCCGGCTGCCGGGCAGGCAGCGGAAAAAAGTAGCAAAAGGGGTGGGCTGCTCAAGCACCCACCGCGGCAGCGAGTTCCAAAGGGCCGCCGCAAGTACAGGCCGAGCCTCTGCTCCAGGGACTCGGGGAGGAGCTTCTCCAGCGCTAACGAATTCATCGGGCGCTCCACGCCCGTCCAGGCCCGAAGGCCCCAAGGTCATGCATGTTCGGTCCGGCCTGCGGCGGTCTTGGCCTTGGGCTTCGCCTTGGGCTTTCCCCGCCAGCCTCGGGGTTCCTCGCCCCCACCGTGGTCCTTCTCGTCGTCCTCGTCCGCCTCGGTGGTAGTCGTTGTGGTGGCCCGCCGGGTGCCCAGACGCCGCCGCCTCTCCAAATACTCGTCCACCTCGTAGACCAGCAGCTCGATGGTGCGAGCGTCCAAGAGGCGAGTGAAAGGCTGCGCTCGCTTCCGGTGGGCATCTGCCTTCCATAAAAGCTGCTGAGGGGAGCCGGTTCCTCCAGCAACATAGGCTCGGCCAACCTACTGCTGCTGCTGCTGCTGCTGCTGCTGCTGCTGCTGCTGCTGCTGCTACTGCTACTGGCTACTACTACTGCTGCTGCTGCTGCTGCTGCTGCTGCCACTGCTGCTGCTGCTGCTGCTGCTGCTGCTGCTGCCACTGCTGCTACTGCTGCCACTGCCGCTGCTACTGCTGCTGCTGCTGCTGCTGCTGCTGCTCCTACTCCTCCTCCTCCTCCTCCTCCTACGACGAC